TTAGAACTGGTGGTCAGTTTCAGCAGCGGCTGAATCTGGACGCCAGTTCCGACTTACATACAGATTCAAGTTAAGAACAAACCTACAGTCCCTATCTTGTACGTAACCCGGGGACTGCCTGTAGTGCAGGAAGGCTATGCATCATGTAGTACTGCACTTCAGATTGCCATGGATGTGGCAGACACAGCTGCACGAGCCACTGCTACAGGTATTGCCATGAGAAGATCATCATAGCTTTCCTCTGCAGGATCCCCAAGAGAGCTCCAAAGCGAGGTCGAAGATCTACCCTTTGACAAGCATAAGCTCTTCACTGCCAACACCAACTAAGTCCTTCATTCGGGCAAAGATTCTCAGACCACCTTACATACACTAGAGATGTACATGCCTCCCTTCAGGCATAGACGCTACTACACTTATCAACAAAGGTACAATTACAATTTCCAAAGGCAACAGCCTCATGCCCTAGAGCGTCAGTATTTCCAACAACGCTCTCAACGAAAGTGGTCCCAACAAAACCGTTTGTCCAATCAATTATCGGCAAAGCAGCAGATTTGACTTCCCTGTTGGATGTAAACACAGTTTCCATAGTCAACATGGAAAACAAATCTTTCCATCTCTTTCACCATCGTGCCCAAGCAGTTTTGGGGGAAAGGTTTTTACTCTCGATACTTTCTCACCCCAAAGAAGACAGAAGGATGGAGACCTATCTTGGACCTTCGCAAATTAAATCGCTACCTTCAAAAGCATCATTTCAAGGTGGTGACCTTAACAACTTTATTCTGTCATTGAACAAAGGAAACTGGTTTGCAGTCTTTGACTTGCAAGATGCTTACTTCCACATTGCTAGTCATGTGGCACACACATGCTTTCTCCAATTCCAGCTGGGAGACGAGCATTTCCAGTACAGGCTACTACCCTTTGGCCTGGTGTGTACCTTCAGGGTTTTCACCAAAGCCTTAGCAGTAGTGGTGGCCCACTTACTCAGGACAAGGGTGATGATATTCCCCACTTTAGACAATTGCCTCTTCAGGGGCCACACGTATATGGAGGCATGTCAGATGGTAGCAACAGCGTCCAACGTATTCGAATCTCTGGGCCTTCTCATAAATGCAAAAAAATCATCACCGGTACTGTCTCAGGATCTGATCTTTATAAGGGCATGACTCGACTCAAATGTGGCACGTGCTTACTTACAAAGGGAACATTTTGCAGCAATCCAGGATCTTGTACACACCCTGATGCATGCTCCAACGATTCCCACACGTATTTGCTTACAACTAATGGGCCACATGGCTGCCTCCATCATCGTGGTACAAAACGCAAGGTTACATTTTCACTGCCTCCAACATTGGTTAGCCACGATTTACATTCCAGTGAAGCACAGCATTCACAGACCAGTAGTGGAACCATAGCACGTACAAGAGTCTCTTCAGTGGTGGACCGAGCCAAACAATCTCTTGGCAGGCATCCCATTCCATCGCCCACAAACTACAAAGCAAATAACCACAGATGCTTCCCTTACCGGCTAAGGAGCACACATGGGCAACCTTACAGTCCAAGGTCACTGGTCTACACAGGAAATGTTGTTGAATATCAATGTACTCGAGCTATAGTCAGTATGGCATACTTGCAAACAATTTCAGTCCCAGATAAGAAATATGATGACCAGAGTCCTAACGGACAACACTGCAACCGTGTTTTACATCAACAGGCAGGGGGTGCCCAATCTCATTCTCTCTGTGTGGAGAGCATCTGGTTATGGAACTGGTGTATCCACAACAACACAGTTCTAACAGCCTCCTATCTTCCAGGGGCCAACAACACTCAGCAGGCAATTTCCCCACAATCACAAACGGGAGATCCGCATGGACATTCTGAATTGTATATTTGCCCGGTGGGGGTTTCAGACAATAGACTTGTTTGCAACGGAAAACAACACAAAGTGTCCCAGCTATTGTTCCAGAGCGGGAATAGGATGTCGCTCATTGGGGGATACTTTCCTTCTCCATTGGGGAAGGTCACTGTGATACACCTTTCCCCCAGTGGTTCAAATGCCCAAGATCCTCGAGAAGATCAATATGGAAATGGCTCAAGTAATTCTTATAGTCCCAGCGTGGGCTTGCCAACCTTGGTATTCAGTGCTCCATCAGATGTTGGGAAAGGACACCATACACCCTGCCTCTTCTCCCGAATCTTCTGACCCAGGACAACAGATCACTGAGCCACCCAAGACCCGAGATCCTGCACCTCACGGCATGGATGTTGGTTGGTTCAACGATTCCGAACAACTCTGTTCACAATGGGTCAAGCAAGTGTCAATGCACAGTAGAAAGGATTTTACATGGGTAACATATACAGCTAAATGGACCAGATTCCGGGCATGATGTGCGAGCAATAATCTAGACCCCCCCCACTCTGCAACCTTATCTCATGAACTGGATTACATCCTACAGCTCCATGACAACAGACAGGCAATAGCCTCTTTACGGGTACATTTAGCAGCAATTAGCGCTTTTCACCATATGGACGAGCGATTCTCCTTATTCGCTCACCCCACTACAGAAAGGTTTCTGAAAGGGCTCACAAACTTTGATCCACCGTGGAGGCCACCTCCACCCTCGTGGAACCTGGACCTAGTTTTGAAGACTTTGACTTGCCCTCCCTTTGAACCCCTAGCCACAATACCATTACACATACTCAGGGCTCGACAAATACACTCGCCTGCTTGCCCGTGGTGAGTAGATTTTACCAGCTGGTGAGTGCAGGGGCAGACTGGCCCAGTGGGCTGTTGTAACGGGCTGGCCGAAGCCCGCACTACGGGCGACGTGGCCCCATCCGATCTCGAGCTGGCAGGGGAGCCGGGAAGGGGGAAGTGCGGCGATTCTTGCCATCAGGCTGCCTGCGTGCAGCTCCAGAGTGAGGAGGCAGGGCACAAGCCAGAGGGCGTAATGCTGGCAGATGCCAGGACGCTGGCGTGACTTGGCCCTGCGGATTTTAAAGGGCTGCGGCAGCTCGGCTCTGGCCGCGTGTCCCTGGACTCTGGCTGCAGCGTGAGGCACAGCCAGGCCCTGCTGGATCCAGCCCTCCCACGGCTCCAGCCCCCTTGCCAGTGAGAGACCACTCCCTGTCGAACTCCTTGCTTGCTGCACCCGCCCTGTACCCCTTTGTCTCTGAACCACACGTTCCCCATGCCACCCCAGCTCCCCTGCACCCCAGACTCCCTGCTCTCCCTCTTCCCTGTAACTCTCTGGCTCTGCACCACCCTTGCACCTCATACCCCCAGCTCTGTGCTGCCTATTCCTTGCACTGCCCCAGACCCTGATCCCTTCGCCCCTCCCGTTCCCCGTGTCTTCACTGCTCCCTGTCTCTTCTCCCCCCCCCCCCTCAATCCGTGCTGCCCGTTCCCTGCACTGCCCTTAGACCCCAATGCCTCTGCCCCTCCTGTTCCCCATGTCCCATTCTCTGTGCCTCCACCGCACCCCACATGCTGCTCCCCCCAGTCCCTGCCCCCCCAGCTCTGTGCTGCCCGTTCCCTGCACTGTCCCTAGACTCCAATCCCTCTGCCCCTCCCATTCCTCGCGTCCCATTCTCCATGCCTCTATCCTGCTCCCCCCCGATCCCTGCATCCTTCTGGCTCTGTGCCTCCTGTTCCCCATGCCACCCCTGCAGCTCCCCCTCCCTCCCTGCACCCGTCTGGCTCTGTGCTGCCCCTGCAGCCTGCTCCCCCTGTGGGTCGGGAGTGAAGGGTGCTTGTCCATAGGGAGCGGCTGGACAGGGCAGGGAAAAGGCTGCTGTGACCCAGCAGCAAGTGAAAGGGGGAGTTCACTTGAAGCTCCTTTGCCTTTATGGAAAAAAATGAATGAAAATGCTATTTGCTATTTATAGGGCTAACATGCCAGGACAAAATCGAAAACAAAAAAAATTGCAAAATGTAAACATGTAAAAGACAACAAAAAAGGGGGGGGGCAAAAAATGTTTTGCTTGGGGCAGCAAAAAACCTAGAGCTGGCTCTGGGGGAGGGGGAGAGGGAAGGGGAAAAATATGGGGAAGGGGCTTGTGCTGAGGGGAGGGGAAGGAGAGGAGGTCAGGAGAAGAAGAAGAAGAAAGGGGAAGGCACCAAGATACAGGGGTGTAGGAGAGACAAGTCCCAGGAGGCCAAGTGCAGACAATGAGGAAAAGGGCAGGAGGGGACGTGTCAGTGGGAGGGGGGAACAGGGTGATGCTGGGAGACGAGAGGGTAAGGGCACTTGGGGTTCGAGGGAAGAGACGGAGGTGCTGAGAGAAGGCTTGAAAGAAGGGGAGGGCATGAGGAAGGCAAGGACGGAGCAAGGCATGCATGAGGGCACAGGGGCATGAGGAGAATGGGGCAGAGGGTGGTGAGGGGGTGGTATCAGGGAAAAAGAGGGCAAAGGAGGCAGGGGCAGTGAGGGAAAGGAGAGGCACCAGGAGGGTGCAGGTGCCAGGGGATTCTGGGGGTGAAGCAGAAGGACAGACACCTGCAAGGGAGGGACTAGCACCAGAGTAGAGAGGTAGGGCAGGTGTGTAGAGGGAGATGTTAGGAGAGGGGATGAGGAGGGGTAGCTCACATGATCAGAGTGGGGCTACTGGAGGAGTGGCACAGGGGAGAGAGAAGGGCTGGTGGAGGGGGGCATGTCTCAGGAAGGCTGAGGGCAGTGAGAAGGGCAAGAGTCAGGACAGCAGAGGAGGGTGAGGAGTTGGGGGGCAGCAGACGCCAGAGGAGCTGATGGAGCAAGGGGAGGAAACATGGCAGCAGAGGGAAAAGGTAGAAGTTTATAAGATATTTATTAATAACTTGGGTGATATTTATTAATAACTTATTAGTAATTACTGTTCTTATTCTTATTAGGAATTTATGCCATTAAAAAAACACTTTTTGCGGGGAGGAAGGTGGCGAGTCCCTTTTTTGTCTGGTGAGTAGGGTTTTCCATAATTAGTCGAGTCCTGCACATACTTACCATAAAGCTTTTGTTTCTTCTAGCCCTTACCTCAGCTCGTAGAGAAAGTGAGATAGCAGCCTTCATGGTTTCGCCTCCTTATACAATTTTTACTAAAGAATCAGTGATGCTGTGATCCCACCTACCGTTTATTCCAAAGGTCTCTTCTGATTTTCTCATCAATGAACCAGTTGTCCTTCCATGCTTCTTCCCTAAACCCCATACTTCAATGCAAGACGCGACGCTGCACACACTCGATGTTCTGGAGTTTTACATCGACAAAATGCGGGACTTAAGGAAAACGGACCACTTGATAGTGTCATTAGCGGACCATTCAAAAGGTCAATGTAGTGGGGCAGAGTGGCCGCCCACTGAGCCAGAGGCGGAGGAACCCCTCTGGGAGCCATTTTGGGCCCAGCCTAGCCCCTCCTAGTCACCTGACAGGAAGCCACAGGGTGTGGCTAGGACTATAAGAACTCCGCCAGGGAGCTCAGTCAGGGCCCAGCCTCTGAGGGAGATAGAGGCCTGTCCAGAGCTCCTAGCTCAGGAGGCGGATACCTGGCGTGGGCCTCCCACAGCTGCCTCCCCTAAGGCCAGCAAAGACTTCCCTGCCAGGGCTGCTGAGGCCTGGCCAAGCTGGTCAGCAGAGCTACTCTCTGACCCAGAGGAACCCAGGGCTCTGCTGGTGCCGGGGGATTCGGAGGACTGGCCTGAGCCTGTGGTCCTGCTTGAGCCCCAAGGTCTGCAGAAACCCCTGGACTCTGAGGGCTTGCCAGAGCTGGTGGACAGGCTGGAACCCCGATGCCTGCCTGAACCCCAGGGCCTGACAAACCAGCTGGACACTGCAGAGCTCCAACCCATCGAAGCCTGGATTGGGCTGCCCTGACCCTGCTGGGATGACACCTCCCTCGACTCTCTGACTGACTTGCTGGAGACACAGGTACCCGCGAAGGGGGAGATGAGGACTGGCTCAGGAGGTAGCATGGGTGGAGAACAGCCCTAGGACAGCACGTTGCAGGCTGGAGCCCCTGCTGAGCCAGTAGCAGCCTCACTGCTGCTTCCAGGGCCCCTAGGCCAGGACGCAGTGGAGTGGGTGGGCCTGCGCCCCCTGCCACCCACCTACTGGGTGGCAGTCTCCCCCTCGCCACTGCTGCAGGTGCGCTACCTGCCCTGCTCCTGAACCAGGAGCTTCCTCAAACCTGGGTGTTTGTTGCCCTGCCCTGCCCCAGGGCCAGGGCTTGCTTCTTGTGTTTGGTGCCCTGCTCTGTGCAAGGGCCAGGGCTTGTGTAAGCCTGGGACTAGAGACTTGGGGACAATTGACAGGGGTTGCGCGGTGGGACAGGAGTATCGCCCACTGACCTGGAGGTGGAGGAACCCCTCCCCGGGAGGCCAACCGGCCTATAATCCACCCCTGGAAGGGGGGAGCTCAGACTGTTGTGGGCACTGCTGGAGGGCAGTGTCCTGAGAAGGATCCTACCACCTGCCGTCCAAGCTAATTCCTTGGACTGATGGCTGGTGGTGCTGTGGCGGTGAGTGTACCCCGTTACAGTCAACCATTGACTTCTCAGTGCATTTCGAGACTGATAGTTTCATGCATAACTATGTGTCATTCTATATGTAACAAATCTTTACTGAATCCACCTAAGGTCCATTTCACCAGAGCGGTGTTCCCTACTACGGCCTTTCTAAGAGGAGTCCCATTTCATAACATTTGCAGGGCAGCAACCTGGTCCTCTAATGTCACCTTTATGAAGCACTATGCTGTAGTTGATCATTTTGCTTCAGACTCTGCAGTGGCTACAGCAGTACTCAATTGTAATCACAATCTTTAATTCCAGAGCCCTCTGGCAGTTTGGGTACTGCTCTGAAGTCACTAAAAGTGATGCATCCATGGGGACCACTCGAAGAAGAAGAAGAAGAAGAAGAAGTTACTCACTCTGTGAAGTAATGATTGTTTTTCAAGATGTGTCCCTATGGGTGCTCCACGACCCACACACCTCCCTGCTCCGGAATTGTTTCTTTTCTCTTTCAGATGAGTGGGTGAGAGAAACTTAGCGGGTGCCAGACTGCGCACAGCTGATCAAAGGTGCGAACGGCACTGCAGAGAAGCCGTGCATGCGCAGTCTGGCGAAGCATAGCTATGACAGTTCTCCGAGCCACGGTACCGGGACAGGACCCGACACCAAGAGTGGAGCATCCATGGGGACACATCTCGAAGAACAATCGTTACTTCACAGGGTGAGTAACTCCTTTTTTCCTTTTCTTAATTTTATCTAGTTTTTAATTGAAATAATCTGTAGCATCCAAAATAATTCCTCTCATTTGGAGGTGTTAAGGCCTACAAATATTTGAAAGGATTTATCTTCCCCTTCCTTTAGTTTTTATATAGCTAAATTGTATACACTAAGTTTTGCTATCTTCCTCTTTCCCCAATGTGCTAATCCTTGCAATCCTATTATAATTTTGTTTCACTTCTTAGAAATCCATCCAAATTATCTATATCATTCTGGTAAAGAAATTCCCAGAACTAGCTATAGTTTACTAGCAAGAGTTCATACAAGAGTTGTATAGAAAAGGAGCATGAAGCTCAACGTAATGTATAGATGGCCCCCGACTTGTGACGCGATTGGTTCCTGAGAAAGTGTCACAAGTCAGGGGTGTCGTAACTCGAACCCACATTTACAATATGCACCATGCACCATCATAAATGCAGGGCCAAGAACGTAATTCAGGGGGATTTGGACCCTTCTGCACTTACAAAAATGGCTGTAAGTGCGGGGGGTCGTAACTCAGGCATTCAGAAGTTGGGAGTTTCTTGTACGTGCCCTTTCCACAGCCTGATTATACTGGTGGGCTGTCTTCTCATGCCCCAATCTCCTTTTGTTACGGCCTTCCAGATTTCTTCCTCTAGTTGAACATGTATGTTTTGGATATTTTTTTCCCCAGATGCATGAACCTGCAATTTTTCCATGCTGAATCTCATTGTTGATTTTTTACGTTGCTTTATAATAGTATTCCCCTGATGTGTTCAAAGAGTCCCAATTCAGAATTATCTATACATTTTATTACTATTCTGGTTTACCCTCTGTGGTAGAAAATTATGAGAAGTAGGAGCAGGTTAAATGTTGATCTTTGTGATACATTGCTGGACACATACTGCCTTTTAACATTGTGATGGGGCACCTCCACCCCGCACTGTAACCCACTCCGAATCCCGAATCGGGGAGTCTGGAGATGCACGGAGCAGGGACAGGGAGCCGGGGGAAAGCCCTGGCTGGGGAACAGCCGGAGAGAGCACAGGCGGCAGAGTGGGGGAGGGGGCCCGCCCGCCACCATGGGCCCAGGTGGATGACATCACCCGGGACGTCATCCGAGGGAGGCAGGAAGGCAGAGTTGGGGAAGCCGGGGGAGGAGGAGCCCCGGAAGCCACAGCGGGGGATTTAAAAGGTGGTAGGAAAGCCCGAGAGAGGGGTGAGACAGGGAGGTCAAGAGGAGACGGTGACAGCAGAGAGAAGAATCCGGACACCTAGAGCATGCTGCAGAAGGACCCGAGAGAGGGGACTACAGTGGTGAGCTTCAACCCGGTCTCCGTGGGTCAGACATGAGCACGGGACTGGGGAAGAAGTGGCCCAGGGCAGGGTCGTGGATCCCGTGAGTTGGGGAGTTTAGGGGCAACAGCCCTCTCCACGGAGCAGGGACCGAGTTCCCTGCCTTAGGGCCCTGGGCTGGGGTTTGGAGAGAGGGAGGGCCCGGACCCCCTTCTCCAGTACTAGGAGTGTGGTGTGTAACCCGCTTAACGTACGAATAAAACAAACGGTGGTACTGCTACCATGGGCAGTGGCTAAGACAGGTACTTAGTAAATGGAGGGGAGTGGGGAAGACTCGAACCCCACGAGGGGAACTCTTAACAAACATGTTTTATAGTCCTTCCAGCATTCTTCTATGTGGATTATGTGTACATATCCAAGCAAATTGAAATTGTGTCTGAAATGCTGTAAAAACCCATATGGTTTTTATCAATTGTGGTTATATTATCTTCTGGATGATAAGATTTGTCTTTATCATTTTACTAGACAGAAGAGTTTTAAGTTTATGGTAATTCCACAATCAAATGTTCCTGTTCGAAATGCTGCACCAGATTTACTTTTCTTCCATTTATTGTTTTCTTTCACCTCCCTAGTTCTCCAAGATTCAACTGCACAATAAGAAGAATATGTTAAATTTTGTGGTGTTAAATACAAGCCCCTAGCATTGTGAATATGCACATGAAAGGGCAAGGAGATTTGATTTCAAAGCATAACTTCTCAAAATCTTCTGTGAATTGCAATTACATATTTAAAACTGGATTACCTGAGTCTTAAATTAGTTTAACTTTGAGACCCTGGGCTTATCTGTACATGAAACCTGTGGGATAGGAAGAGATGCACAAAGATGTTTGAAGATGCACAAAGAGAGTTCCCATGATTCCTCCTGCTAACAGTACTGCATTTTACACAAAGTCCCTCCAACCCTAACTCCCTACTCATTAGTGATGGACCTCTAGTCCTACCATTTCCTTTGAGGCACTGCGTTCACTGCGTTAGGGCCACTGCGTTCATGCCATTGTAAGATGCCCGTTGCAGCCCCTCAGGCTCTCCGGGTGACAAAAATAAAAGCATCTTGAATGAGAAGCGGTAGCTTCATCACTGGGAGAGGGTCTGCCATTGATGAAGCTCTGTCCACACCAGTGCTTTTCATCATTACAGTTTTTTTGGAAGCGAGTGTATATTTGTTTTTTCTACACCCTTGAGCCATGAAAGTTTCCATAAGGAAGTGCAGTGTAGACATGGCCTAGGATTGAAGTGTGGGCTATTGTAGACTTTGCACACTTTAGAAGAGAGCATCATCAGTTTTTGCTGAAGAACATGCATAAAGCAAAATTATGCAGTATGCATGTGCAATTTAATCCAGTGCCTGTGTGCAATTTAATCCAGTTATTACTGGTCTGGATGCCTTCATTCCCAATTGGCTACGAGAGGAAGGGAAGAGAAAGGTTGAGCTCTCATTGAGCCTTCCTACTGTTAAAGCTAATGATAAAATTACATTGCACAGTCCTTTGGTTTGTTTTTCCACTTCATGCAGCAGCTTTTCCTGCAGTAAGAAGGTATTTCAACTTGCCTCTTTTTTGTCCTCTCTGTTATTCATTAAAAAAGGTGCAGTTCTGCCTCTTATTTGTGCTTCCATGCTTGTAATAAACGGTGTATTGGGATTCATTCCACTGCCTTGTTCATTTCAGACATTCTTCTCTTCAGCTCTACTTAGAACTTGGTTCCAGAAAGTACCCCCTTCTAATGAATTATACCATAGTAATCCTTCCCCTCAAACTACTCCCCGAGACCTGGTTGACACTAGAACCTTAGTACAAAATAATACCCCCCTACACACACACCCTCCAGGTTGAATTTGTAAGTGATGCATCCACACTACCACGCCGATATTCTGGAATAAGAGGCCACAGAATTCAAAGTCTGTACTCCTGCTTTTCACGAGGAATAACACTATTCTCAAAGTTGCGTATCCAAAATAACATTAGTGTGGATGCTCTGGTGCTGCTAATTCAAACCATTTGGCCTCTAGGAGGCCTTCTACAGATCCCAAGAGTGCTTCTTGGGACTCTAAGTCCAAGGTAGTGGTCCATATTAATGGAGCCTGCCTTGGACTACATTCAATTCTTCCTGGGTACGTCTACACTAGCTCGTTAGTTCGAGCTAGGTAGGGTAATTAGGGCAAGAGGAGTTGCAAATGAAGCCCGGGATTTAAATATCCCGGGCTTCATTTGCATGTACCCGGGTCCCGCCATTTTTAAATCCCCCTTAGTCCGAACTCCGTGCCTGCGGCTACATTCCACGTGGAATGAGGAGTAACGGTAGTTCGAATTAGAATCTTTAATTCGAACTACCTACTCTGTGCCGCGTGTAGCCGCTGGCATGGAGTTCGGACTAAGGGGGATTTAAAAATGGTGGCGCCCGGGTACATGCAAATGAAGCCCGGGATATTTAAATCCTGGGCTTCATTTGCAACTCCTCTTGCCCTAATTACCCTACCTAGCTTGAACTAACGAGCTAGTGTAGACGTACCCCCCAAAAGTGAGGACATAGAATTTCAAATTTGTAAAATTAGGTGCCCAGAAGTCAAACTTAGTAAATTCGAAATAATCTCCTAAGTAAAGTAGAGTGCTCACTACTGTAAGACAAACCAATTTGCTTTGCCCTCTTGCAAAACATAAGCACTCCATTGCTTTTGCAGTGAATGTTCCCAAGGCTTCTTCTCCCTGGAATTATTTTAAACTTCTTCCTCTTGTGAAGAAGGAATTTATCATGCATTTTCAATTTTGGGGAGAGAGAAGGCGTACTGGGAGAGGCTGAAGAGGACCGGAAGCACAAGGGGAAGACAAAATCTCAAAGTAATAAAACTGCTTCTAAGTGATCTCTAGTGTGTTGATCACACTGCCTATTAAAGCCACCTATTGACTTCAATGGGTTTAGATCAGTCTAGAAATGAGACACCAAAAATGGAATACATAGCCCTAGTTGCTTTAGGATATTTCTATTCTCTAACCCTCACAAGAGGACCGGAAGCACAAGGGGAAGACAAAATCTCAAAGTAATAAAACTGCTTCTAAGTGATCTCTAGTGTGTTGATCACACTGCCTATTAAAGCCACCTATTGACTTCAATGGGTTTAGATCAGTCTAGAAATGAGACACCAAAAATGGAATACATAGCCCTAGTTGCTTTAGGATATTTCTATTCTCTAACCCTCACAA